TTAGTTTATACAAATTTCAATTGAGAAAATATTTAAGTAAAAAAATTTTTAAAAAAAGTTTACAATTTTAAATACCCTACAATTGATTAAAAACCTCCTATTTATAAAAACATTAAAAATTTAGTTCTCTATGTTAGAAATTTTTAATAATAACTTTTAATTTTTAAAAAATTAGTTTATCGTTTTTTTTCTAGTTTATAAAATTTTTGATTTTTATAAATTATGGATTTATAAAAAAATTTAATTTTAAAATAAGTAAATTTAGAAAAATTCAATTTTTTAACAATATTAAAATATGTATAAAAATAGGCATTGAATACCCTACAATTTATTAAAAAAAATAAATTATAAAAAAAATAAAAATTTTCAATTTATAAAAAATTTTATTAAATTTTTAATAATAAAAAAAACAAATTTCTATTTCAGAAAAAAGTTTTTTTTACACATACTTTCCTTATTGCAAAGCAAAAAGAGATTTTTACAAAATGTATACAATTTATTGCCCATCTATCCTAAATCAAAATGCTAACAAAAATATTTAGCCATTATTTGTCAACTAATCGCCATAAGCTCAATAAACATATTTTGTAAATAAGTTATACGAAAAAAAATCTATTACAAATGCAAACGCAACAAAAAAAAAAACTCCCTCCATAATGTCCACCAAAATAATATTTGTGTCCAATGGGAACCCGTAAACGACATTTGAAATTGGCCATATTATCATCATCTGCTGCCTTTGCATTGCTACCCAAAATCTGCAAGACAAGATATTTAAAATAACACCAACGCATAACAACAATTGCTGTGTTTTTATTGTTGTTGCTACGGTTGCTCATGCGCATACAAAGGCTCTACGCATCATATGCATATAGTCGGCAGCAGGCATAATAAAACATGTCACATGTGTGTGAGGTGTGTGTGTATTTTTTTCTTCTTCTTCTGAATAAAATGCTAACAAAAGCAAATCGGCTTACAGACAAACTCGCAGACTATACATAAATATGACAACAAAATGACAAAACATATAAAAAGCGATTTGCTAAAGGAATTGACAATTTTTTTCATTTCTCCCCCACCCCTACCCTCTCCAAAAAATAATACACCATAAACCCACAACAGCAACAACAACACCGAAAATAAAAAAAGAAATTTTCAAACTCAAGCCGATATTTTATGGGCACATTACCCCCACAATATGCAAATGCGTAAAAGAGTCTCACAGCCATTTGCTTAATATCCTACACAACGATCCTCGGCAGGCGAGTGAGTAAGCTTGCCAGGAAAAAAGCATATACGATCATGTTTGTAAATGTCACTATTTAATGAAATTTTAGCCATTTGTGTAATGAAATCGGCACCGAAAAAATCGAATAATAATGGGTGTCATCACCTTTTTTCCTATAAAATACGAAATTAATACAGGAGACCTCAAAACACCAGCCATCATACGATGGAATATTTGTATTAAAATTGGAAAATATTGGGATTTGGATGTGAGATGATGTTGCATTGAAAGAGTAGTGGTTGTTTAATTGATTTTGAAAAGTGTTTATTTAAGCGTGTATGTACACTCAAAAATTTTTCGAGTGTAGCCTTGTTGATATGCAAGAAAATCATTGCAAATTTTCCTTATGAAGTTAAGAACTTTGAGTATATTTTCCATTAAACTTTTTTTGATACAATATCCTCTGCCTTCCCCGCAATGTATACATTAAGGACCTTGGGTCCCATAACCTCAATATTGGCCAGAGTTTTGAGGCACAGGAACGCGAAAGTTTACAGTATTTTTTATAAAAAAAATTGGCCTAAAACCCAACTCAATAATCGTAATTTCCATACGAATTGGTTGCGTTTTTCTGAGGTGTAAGCAACCGATCTTATGTGTTATGGATTTCATTCCCACATGGTGGAAAATAAAGCGAAACGATTGTGGGCTCTTTTAATTTGAATGGAAAATTGCAAAGAAAAAAATAGAGAGCATTTAGGAACAACTTATATAAAATATACATATATATATATATCATTTCTCTAAGGCATCTCCTCCGATTTTTTAACAATAAAATCCATCCTATATAAACAAAAATTTACTTGAAACTCCTTTTCTATAGAAAAGAAGAAAATTTCTAATTCACAGGGTGTTTCACATTTAATTGCATCTATTCTCATGTTCGACATCTGTTTTCCACATTTTTCCTTTTTTTTTAATTTCTCGTAACAACAAAAACTACAAATATTTTCACACACTCTCCATGCCAACAACAGAAATAGAAAAATGCTACCCAGTACAGATGTCAAAAATTTACAAGTTATAATAATTGGTAACATTTAGAAAACGACAAATGATCGTTTAACACATGGTGACCATAGGCACAAGTGTTTCAGTGGGAACAGCAGGCTATTGAAACAGTGGTTCGGTTATAATGAACAAAAAAAAAAAAAAAAAAAATTAAAAAATAAATGGCGCCCAACAAGGAGTCACACATTACCAGAGAAAATATCTTTGAGAAATATTCCGACGAATTAAGTATTGATTTTTGGAAAAAATGGCAAAGTGGCGCCCAACGAGGAAAATTGAAACAGCTAGCTATTGGAACAGTGGTTCGGTTGCAATAAACAAAAAAAATATATATATATATACTAAAAATAAATGGCGCCCAACAAGGAGTCACACATTAGCAGAGAAAATATCTTTGAGAAATTTTCCGACGAATTAAGTATTGATTTTGGGGAAAAAAATGGCAAAGTGGCGCCCAACGAGGAAAATTGCTCTTGGAAAATTATCTATAATTCGGTTGATATTTGTTTAAGGCAAAATAATTGCGCCCAACAAGGGACCATTTTACGAAGTGAAAATATTTCTCTGAAATAATTCAAAGAAACTGTCGCCCAACGTAAATGTTTCCTTGAGACAAAAAATTAAAGTCTAATTATGAAGTTAAAGTTTAATTTTTTTGTTTGCAATGTAAAGTAAAATGAAATTACTTTTTTTTCTAAATAAAAATAGAAAAAGAAAAAAAAAATTCAACCCAATATTACCGCTATTGTTTTTTTTTTTGACTTTTTTCTGATGACGCCCAATATAAGGTCCAAATATAATTGATGGAGTTTTTTCAGAAGTGAGTTAAAAAGTAATAATTATTTCGGAAAGAAATCATAACAAAATTGGCGCCCAATATGGGCGCCAATCGCGATACGATTATTTTACGATTACCAACAAATAACTAACACAACACTAAAGCTATTTCTCTTTTATCGATGGCGCCCAACATGAGACCCAAATATCAATAATTGAGAAGAAAACATAGCATATATTGGCGCCCAATTTGGGATAAGAACATAATGCACTGAAATTTGTTAAAATTATGTTGGTAATGGCGCCCAACGTTTTTATTTTTCTTGAAACCACTGTCGCGTAATGTTTATGGTGGCATGTAAAACATATACCAAAAAAAAAAAAAAAAAAATAGCTGAAAAACACATGTTGTGTGCAATGAATTGAAGGAATTTTCTTCCATGCTGCACACTAAATGACAGAGCATAAATTCCAACTCCTTTTTTTCTTCAATAATGACATGAAATTTTGAAAGAAAAAGAAATAAAAACTAGCAGAAATATTTCTAACATATGGGAATTCTAAGCAGTTGCAGTCGCATTGGAATAAATAAAGGCCAGCAGGAAAACAAATTAAAAATTTTGGAATGAAATATCATATCTTAGTAAAAATAAAAAAAAGTGTTATCAGTAAAAAGAAAATTTCTTTAGGAAGTAAGGTGGTTGTATTTATAGAGTAAAACACAAGTTGGTGTATACTGGCGCTCAACAAAGTGAAACAAAATCAATTAGTAAGGCTGTGATAGAAGTGTCTTATGAAAGGGATAGGAAATATATTTCGCATTTTTTTCATAATAATTATTATTATATATTATATTTATAATAATCAAATGATAAATTTATTAAATTGTTAACGATGGCGTCCAACGAGGGGCCACATGATAAATGTTAAAATCTTGCTCAAGCAAGAAATTGAAGAAAGGGGCCACAATATAATTTCGTTCGAGATTTATTCAAAAACAACAAAGTGCCACATAACACTTGATTGAGACTTGATCATGAATTAATCTAAAGATGATTAGAAGTTATCTCACGAATTTGTAAGGAATTGATAATACCTATGAGCGAACGTTGGCGCCCAACAAGGGGCCATGATATAATTTTATTTAAGATTTTGCAAAATTTAATATCATTTTAAATAAATCATTGGAACGTTTGCTAAAAATTAATAATTATTTATAAATGAAAATTATAGAGGATCTAAAACTGGTTAATTGGTGTCCAATGAAGGCCTACTCTGTAATTGATTTTAATACTGGTAGAGAAGTATAGTTTTTAGAGAAATGAACTATACTTTTGTAAAAATATTCTCGTTGGCGCCCAACAAGGGGTCATAATATAATTGTTCAAAAATCATTCAGCACATTTTAAACGGAACGTCTTAATTATTATTATTATTATTTATATATATATATATATATATATTTTTTTTTTGAAAAAGTTATTAATAATAAAACAGATAATTATGATCGGCTTGATTGGCGCCCAACGAATGGCCATAATGAAATTAACGGAAACTTGCTCAGAAGTTAGTTAAAAACGAAAGAGAATACGTATTTGTGCAAATTTTAGAGAAACATATGATACTTTTTTTCAAGGTATTCTGAATGGCGCCCAACAAGGGGCCAAAATCTAATTGTTAGAAATGATTCCAGAAATTTTGAAATAAAACAAATAATACACCTTTTTCTTGTGCATTTTTTTTTTAATTGTGGAAAAATATGTGTAACTTCTCTAACTAGAATATAATGGCGCCCAACCAGGGGCCCGAACATAATTACAGGATAACAAGTAAATTAATAACTAGAAGATTTTCTGTTCGATTTTTCTAATTAGATTTCTTGAAAACTGGAAAATATTGAATTAAAAATAATAAAAAAAATTATCTATTGACCACTTACCTTAACCCGTTCCAAATATTCTTGCAGTACAAAATATGGATCGTCATCGTCGTCAATATCCAATGGCAAATTGCTTAAATTAAATGGCAAATCCAAATTGGCCAATGCTTCTAATTTACTGCGACAATTTGAGGCCGATTCAGCCAATTGTTCGGTGGTAGCGGCTAACGACGACGACGACGAGGGGCTGTTATCGCCATTTGTGACATTTGCGAATAAAGTGGTGGAGCCGGCTTGGTCCTCCTCGAAAGATTCGTTAGGATTATCAACTGTCATGGTTGGTGGATTTGTCGATGAGGTTGTTGCATTAACGCTTCCGTATTGCTTAAGACTACAACGTGGAATGGTAGCTGAGGTGGCGGTTGCATTACCACCAGCTGTACTCGATGTTCTCAGTTGTACGGAGGATGATAAGGCACTTGAGTTGTTTGCGGACATTGATGTTGTGTGGTTAGTTTTGTCAACATTAACGCCGTCCACATTTTTAACTTCAATTTCTTGTTCCAGGGTTTTTGTTTTGTTGTTGCTGTTGGCAGATGTTGCATCAACTTCATCCGCTGCCAGGGAGGACTTTCTAGTTCTAAATATTGAAGGCGTCGTCACCGTTGTCGTTGTTGTTGTTGCGGTGACTGGCGGTGTTGCTGTTGAAGTTGATTTTTGACATGTGTTATTGGTGCCGCCATTGATAAGCATTGATTGCTCATGTGGTTGTTGTTGTTGCTGTCTTTGCTGCGGATATGTCATGTTTGTTGCCTGCTGTTGTTGTTGTGATGTTGATCTCATCATTGGTTTATTGCACTGATTCTTGATGGAAGTTCTATTAATAATATTGTCATGTTGTTTTTGCATTTGTTCTGAAAAAAAGAAAGGACATGAGAAGAGCAAATTAAGAAAAAGAGACAAAATGGTCAGATCTTAAAAATATTTAAAAAAGAACAACAATTTCTATGTTAGCATTTACTCCTGGTTGAAATTTTGTCGAAAAGATCTAGATGGCGCCCAACAAGGGGTCACAACATAATACAAGGAAACAAGTTCCAAAATTACTGAAAAAGGAAAAAATCCAAGAAACAAGTTTTCGTGTAGTTGTCTCAATGGCGCCCAACAAGGGGCCTTACTGGCTGAAATTGTTCAGAAATGATTTAAAATATCAGGAAAGAAAATAATTCTAGTTTTGTGATGTAGTTATCAATCTTCCCGCCATCATCTTGGTACCTTTTTGTTGTTGTTACAAAATGTTGAACAATATATTCAAATATTTCTAATAAACTTGTCAGTTCATAATTTTCAAAATATATATTTTTTCTATATGTTTGATTTTCCAAAAAAAAGAAAAAAAATAATAAAAAAAAATAATAATAATTTATTGTCACGTTCCTCTACCTTAAACACCACCACCAAGTGGCTGTGGCATTCATGTTGTCACAGGCTCAAACAATTGTTGCAATTACCATGGCAATTGTTGTAGTCTGCAGCATTATGTCGCCTAGCCTAGCCTTTGCCTTGGCGTGGTGCATTTTTTCTTAATCCAATATCTATTTTTTGCTTTTATTCGACTCTATTGTGAAGTCTTTACGATGCTGTTACATTTGCATCTAAATATGTTTATGAATGTCTAGCTAAATGATTGTTTATTTGTTTGTAAATACTTTTGTTGTTGTTGTTTTGAAATATTTTGCAAATTTACAATGTCTTGCGATGCCCGGTTGCATTTTTGGCAACATGGATTTTGAGGTACTTTGACAAGGGTAACAACTCAATAGGAAAATGAAAAATACTTAGGAAATATATTAAAAAAAAGATATCTAAAAAATTTTTTTATTTAAAAATAAAAAAGAATTTTACAATATAAAGGTTGAGACAAAATGACGCCCAACAAGGGGCTCTGAAGGTATTTGGCTAAGACTGTTCAAAAAAGTCTGAAAATTGCAAAAGAAAAAAAATCAAATTGTGTAGAAATTGTTTGACAATCTTGTAATGTTGTTCTCGTTGGCGCCCATCAAGGGTCCGCAATTTAATTTGCTGAGACTAAGACAGAAATTAAAACAGACTGTTCACAAAAGTCTGAAAATAACAAAAGAAAAAAGCCAATTGTGTAGAAAAGTTTTGACAATTTTGTAAAGTTTTTCTCGTTGGCGCCCAACATGGGTCCGCAATATAATTTGCTGAGACTAAAAAAGAAATTAAAACGGTGATCAACATTATTGATTGGGATCTAAATCGAGAGACAAGCCTGGCAATTTCTCAAGAAAGATATGATAAATTTTTGTTGTTTTTTTTCGGTTGGCGCCCAATAAGAGGCCACACCATAAGTTACTGAGACTATGGATCGAAACAATGGGTATGTGAAAATATCTGATACTTTTCTGGTGCTAAATATACTTTCATTTTAATAATGTTTATAGTTGGCGGCCAACAAGGGGCCACAAAAAAATTCCGAGGCTGAAGACTGTGTCAGAAATTTAAAAGGAGTCGTAATTAATTAATGGAAACATTGTCAAAAGGCAAGAACACCGATCTAATCAATGTTCCAGAAAAGTGTTATATTTTTTGAAGTTTTCCTTTGGCGTGGCGCCAAACAAGGAGCCACAATATAAGTTAATAAAACCGGGTCGACATTTGAAATGTGTTCCAATCTTATTGAGAAGAGAAAAGAGAATATTTTTGCATTTTTTTTAAGAATCATATACAGTTTTTATATATTGGGTCTCAATGGCGCCCAAAAAGGGGTTCCAAACCAAATTGAATGAGTTATGCTCAGCAGTGGCTGCTTCACATAGAAAAAGGATATAATTATGACCATAATTTTGTGGATTCTTTTTTCGGCAGCATCGAAAACTAATTTAATTTATTTGTCTGAAGTGATTTAAAATGAAAATGGCGCCCAACAAGGCTTCTGAACATTATTGACTTAAAATGTTAATGAGTAAATTTACAACTGACAAAGTTTTTCAGAAGATTATAAACTTAAAATCTTATGAAAATGGCACCCAGTGTTGAAATGAGAAAGAAAAATAAAAGAATTTAACATCGAAGAACTTCTGTCCAAAAATTCAAAAATATTTTATATCAAACTCTGATTTGGTGTTTGTGATGCTTGTTCTTTCAAAATTCTTCAAATTTTTGTACTTCTTTTTGTCAAAAAATTGTACCGCCCATAAGTATTCAATATTCATTATCATTTTTTTCTTTTTGTTGTTCTTGAAAAATTTGTAGTTGCACAAAAATTAAGACCTCAATTGTTGACACTTGGAGATTGCTATCAGTTTGACAATCGGTTGCCTATGGCTGCCGATAGAAAACAAAAAATAGAATAGAAAACAAAAAAAACTTGTTGCATGCTACAGAACAGAACCATAAATCATTGTCAAACTAAAGTGTCAGAAAAATTAACGAAAAAAAAGAAAAATACTCAAATTCCAATCAAATCAATTTACAATACAATATTAACAGCTGTCAAATTGATCGGGCATTAAAAAAATAACAACAACAAAAAACGTCAATAATAATAATGGCTGGTTTTTCTTCAAATAGAAAATATGTAAGAAATCAAAAATATGTTTTATATGTATGTTGCATATTGTTAGGCGAGAGGAACATCACGATGTCATATGATTTCGCATGTCAGAAACAAAGTTAAAATAATGATTTCAATAAATTGATAAAATAACTCGATAAATACATTTTTTTTCATGTGAGGTGCACACTTTTAGGCGAAAAACTTCTGAATATTAATTATTAAATTTTATTATTTTTAATATTAATATTTAATTATTAATTTAATTTATTATTAATATTTAAAAATATATATTGTGTTCGAAATATTCTCAGCGACGGACAGCGGCCAATAATTCAAATTTTCTGAAAATAAATAATAAAAATCGTTCATGCGCGGTGCATACTTTTAGGAGCAAACACCATAAGTATATTATTTAATATTTAGTAAAATGTACATTATTTTTAAGTTCGTAATATATTTCCTCAAATAACGATAGAGACTAATTGTTCTACCTTGTGGAAAATATAGGAAACCTAGAATGTCTTTCAACAAAAAATACAAAAGAATTTTGAGCAGAAGCAGAAAACGCACCTATTATTAGATATTTTTCTTTTGTATGAAACTAAATAATAATTGAATTGCAACAACAACACCAACAACAATTTATGAACTCTATAAAATTTGCGCACAATTTAGACAGAATCTTTGCTATATGAAAAAAAAAACAAATAACTTCCATTGCATAGAAGTCAAAGTACTAACGTGATTTTGAAAACCCCAAACACATTGCATTAGAGAAAGAAAACCAAAATCATAAAACAATTAATCATTATTAAATGTTTGTGTAGATATATAACGCTATATATCATAATTGTTATTGCCTCACAATAACAATGATATTGAGTTTTTTTAAAGAAAAGAATACAGTATCTTTTCATCCTACCATATGCTGGCTGATCATGCAGAGAAATACTACAATGTTTGATAAAAAAGAATAATATCAATCACAATTTGAATACACGTGAGTGATCAAGCTGGCGAACGAACACACCCTAAATTCGTGTATATCAATCTGAGGTTATAAAGTTCAAAACAAATAAAATCAATCCATTGTAGTGGCTAAGAGGCAAAATAACCTATCGTCACCAATAACTTTGACATTTTCTCAAGACCAGACCGAACAAGACCATTCCGATAGACCTAAAGACCGATGGAAATATTTAATTGGGAGGTGCTTTGTAAAGTACAAAGAGCAAGTTCGAAAAGTTAAAAAGGGTAGGATGTTAATTAACAAAAATGTATTTAATAACAGACACAATAATTTAAACTTCCTCATCAATATTGGCAAGTTTTAAATTATAATGTAAAGTATGGTGCATAGTTTTAGGCGGCAGATTTTCAAGATCTGGTACTTAGTTTTTATAAAGTGTGGAAATTTACTTTACAAAGAGGTATTTAAATATAGAAAAATCATTATACATTTCCCATCCATGATGACCGGTTTTATTTATTATAAGGTTAAGTGTGGTGCATAGTTTTAGGCGAAAGATTCACAAGAATTTGATTTTAATTTTAATAATGTGGTAAAATAAACGCCTACTTAATTTGATTCGCAAAATATGTACAAAGTGTGTTTGACATTCGTAGGGACTAAAAGAAGGGAAGCTAGGAACGCTTACGTTTGTGGAAACATATTTTGTTCAGAGAAATCCTGTCATATTCAGAAATAAATCTATAGGTCTATAGGCCATATGCGTTTAGTTCAACTTAATTGATTCCCAAGGATTCAAATGTTTTCTGCAATTTTTTCATAAGCACACATAAAATATATATTTCAGAATATTTGAAGTTTATTGCATACTTTTAGGAGAACAGTAAATGTGAGTTGGCTTAAATTATTTTTAATTAACAATATTATTATTAAGAATAAATATAGTCTAATAATTTATTAAAAACAAGGCTGAACAAATTTCCATCACTACACCCAAGTTAAAATTCTTAAAAAGTGTGGTGCATATTTTTAGGCGGCAATTTCATGTGGTTCACTGTCAATGGTATTTAAACATATGTTGACTTTATAGAAGCATTCAATATTTTCGTTAACTTTCGCATGCGAATCGGGAAACTTACGCTAAATAAATTTACCTCAGAAATCTGGAAAATAACATCTTCAGGATTCAGATCAAAATTTTTT